ATATATATATATATATATATATATATAACCATATTTCATAACAACAACATTCACTCTCTCTATTTTTTTCTCTTTTCTTCTCTACCCAAATTGCATCAGCACTATTAGTCTGCCATAGGGATGGAAAAAAAAATTTGTATCAACATATAAAATTCGTCACTGGTATGAGACAGATACCTTAATAAATATTCACGGATAAAATAAATACATATTTAAATACCCATTTATTAATGGATATAAATACAAGTTTAATGACACTCTAATCCAAAGTTAATAAATTATAAGAATCACTTAAATATTATACTTTTTTTTTTCATCTTCTAAAAAACTACTTTTCTTTTATATATATATATATATATATATATATATATATATATATATATATATATATATATATATATATATATATATATATATATATATATATATATATATATATATATATATATATATATATTTCATGGAACACGAATATCACGGATAAAAAAAAATCTTCAAAGAAAACTTTAAAATATATATATATATATATATATATATATATATATATATATATATATATATATATATATATATATATATATATATATATATATATATATATATATATATATATATATATATATATATATATATATATATATATATATATATATATATATATATATATATATATATATATATATATTTCATCGAACACGAATATCACGGATAAAAAAAAATCTTCAAAGAAAACTTTAAAATATATATATATATATATATATATATATATATATATATATATATATATATATATATATATATATATATATATATATATATATATATATATATATATATATATATATATATATATATATATATATATATATATATATATATTTCATCGAACACGAATATCACGGATAAAAAAAAATCTTCAAAGAAAACTTTAATATATATATATATATATATATATATATATATATATATATATATATATATATATATATATATATATATATATATATATATATAAACCGAGCAAACACAAATATCATATTATCTGTACATGAATATTCATTTACATCTGTACTAAATGGTGGAACATCGGTAAGAATTCTCTCATTTGGCACGCTATTCATATTGTTATAGGGTTGATGTGTTTACTTGAAGTATATTTTCCTTTGAGAGATGAACTAACAGTACAACACAACCGGATATGATTAGTATTAAAAAGTCTAATGGACCATTTCATTCATTAAATATTAAAAATTGTTTAGAGAAGCATATTTATACTATTTATTCAAATAGACTGTGAAATCTAGATTTTATTATTAATGTTTATCAAAACACATAAAACAAACCCATGCTCGACAATAAAATAGGAATATTAACGGGTTTTTAGAATTTTAGTACAATTTTCTACTAATAGTTTGAATTCAGTTTTATAAAATTTATCTCTTTAACGTTCAAGATATCATAGAGGAGGTCAAAAGAACAAATATTTGTCTCTTTAACGTACTTTCAGTCGTAAATTCAGATCTGCTAGTTCCATTAGTGGAGGAACTATTAAGTTAATATGATTCTGCTAAAAACCTTTTCGAAATCAACGGTCATAAACTTGCTGTTACATTGGAAGATATTTTACTCCAATAATAGTTTGTTTTTTCAGACGTAAGAATCGTTACTCCAATAAAAAATATATTTTTCTCCAAAGTTCTTGCAAAACGACGTGTATAAGAAGGAAAAAAACGAGGAAACCAAAGCAAAAAGAAAGAGACAAATAAACAGGCAACCAAATCAACAAAACAACCATTATGGACCCTTGCACCTCCCCACACTTTCATGCCCCCACCTATTTATTAGATAGTAGTAATAATTTATTGGCAATGAATTGCTGTCGTATCCCAATATAATGATAACAAAATAGTAGTTTCCTTAACAAAGGAATGATGTCTACATGTTAGCTGCTTAATCGGCAATTTATTTGGGAAAAACCATCATAGACACATCAAATAATGTTAATATATGGAAAATTTAAAATAAAAAACACAATCACTTCAATTGATAATCCTATTTTAAATTAAGTACATGTACACAATTCTTTCAAACAATCTATGATCCACAATAGTAGTATATTAAAAAATATACGCTAGAAGAGCAATACTATTTAACTTCAACTATATATTAATTAATGAAACATACTATCAACTTCTTAATAATGCTGTGAGCTGTTTTAAATATTCGTCACACCCTCTTAATTATACGTCACACCCTCTTAATATATCGAGTTTTGTTTTTACTCCCTATAAAATTATTTTTGTGATTCCCCCTTACTAAATACAGATTCCTTCAATGAAGATCATTAAATCACAATTTCACTAATTATGTAAATGAGACATTCTAGTTGGCAGCTGTTGTTTCGCTGACGGTACAATTTAATGCCAAGTTGATAGGCTGATTGTGCATTTCTTCATTTGTTTCGTTCTTCATTTTCTTCTCCATAGGGCTCCAAAATCAGTTCGCGTTTTCGTTATTCTTCTTCCATTCTTCTGAATTCGTTCTTCTTCTTCTTCTCCCTAGTACAATTTTGCGTATAAGATAACATGGTTGGAAGCAACTCAGTTGGAAGCAGCAACACACCTTCTGTTGAATTTTCATCTTTACCCAAGTATGGGTGCGATCGTGCAATGAAGATGTGGGTCGCTAACACTGTTCAAAATCGTAATAGGAAATTCTGGAGATGTCGTAACGCAGGGGTAAGAATGTTGTTTTTGTAAATGTTGTTTAAAATGAAAAATTGATGTTTAAGATGTTCATAGTTGTGTAAATGTTGTTTGTGTTTGTAGAATGAGAATAACTGTGACCTGTTTGTGTGGGATGATGAAATTGGAGACTGTATGAATGAGAATTCTAATATTCAACCAAGTTGCCAAAACTGTCAGATGGCAATGTGAAGTTAGAAATCACAATGAAGAAGTTAGAAAAGGCAAAGATGAAGATTGAAGTTCAGAAGAAGAAATATTTTAATTTGAAGATGACAATTGTGATCTCTTAGTTTATTTTTGCAATGTTGTACAAGTTTATGTAATTTTCATCTTGTTGTAATATTCGGTAGTTTAATGTATTTGGAAGTTATGTAGTTTGATGTATTTTCATCTTGTTTGCAATGTTGAAGATTACGAACACATTGTAAAATTGCTTTGTATTAATAAAATGTGTAACTTTGTTGTCATTCAATGATTGTGATAAAAAGTAATGAAATAATTAGTTTATAAGATGATAACAAAATGACACCAAAAGTGTGCATTAGTCATTACAAAATGGCACTAATAGTGTGCATTACAGTCATTACAAAATGGCACACAAAGTGTGCATAAGTCATTACAAAATGGCACTAAGGCATTACAAAAGGGCATATTAAAATGACATAAGTCACTACATAAGGGCATAATTGATTACAAAAGGTCATAAAACTACTTATTGGTTAGGGTTTGAATCAGACCCTATGATTGGTTTTTGAAACCATTTCAGTTTAATTCTCTCACTTGACTTCTTTTTCATTGGTTTGCCTTCTTGTTTGTCTTTAGCTTTGCCTTTCTTTTTGGTACTTGCTAAGCTGATGTAAATTGTTGTTTGCATAGCCCAATTTCCTGTGTTGATGTCAGGTATGGTTGACATAATCTCATCAAAAATATCACCAAACAATCATGTATCAATTGTGACTGAATCATGTTAACTTGCATCAGCTGGTTGGTTTTGACTAGTAGAACCATTACCTACATCATGTTGACTTGCATCAGTTGGTTGACTAGAATTCACTTCAGTGGGTGCACTTGTACCTGCATTAGACCTGACCTTTTCCTACAAAAAATATTGAACAAATAAACAACAATACCTTTCTTTTCAAGGCATTTGGATCTTGTTTCTTTCTCTTGCATGACTGAACATTGTGTCCAAACTAATCACATTTTGTACACCTATAAAATACACCAGGCAATCTTCTTCTAGCACCACCCTCATCACACTCCCTAATTCTTAGTTTTCTTGGACCTTTTTTGTACCTATGAGGTAGAAGCTCTTCACCTTCAACTTCAGGTCACATTTCTTGTCCATTAATGGACTCACAACAAAACCATAACAAATGGCATATTTTTACCTAGAGTAACATTCATCAACAAACATTTCTGGATTTTGTTACCTAAAACCTAAAGCTGCAACATCATGCCTACAAGGAATTCCAACCAACTCCTAGAAATTACATGTACAAGACCTTTTGGCAATGTCAACTATGAATTCCTGTTTGTTTTAAGAATGAGTAACCTGAAAATTTTCATCCATAGCCCAATTTGGCATCCAATGACCACTCATTTCCACCATATTATCTAATATCTTCCTAAGAATTGGCATAACATTGTGTGGCGACTTTTCAAGTTTGATGGCAGAAGTACTGCACCTATTTATTAAGTACTTTCTAATCCATTCACACATAGTTAGTATAAGTTTATCCCTAGCTACTAAAATTGTTACATTAAAAGACTCAACAATATTGTTCATCAGTACATCACATTTAGGGTAAAAACTAACTGCATGCTTACACCAACATTTTGGAGGTTCTCCCATTAGCCATGTCCAAGCCTTGATATCTACTTGCTTCAGTTCATTCATTTTTTGCATCCATCCTTGATAGTAAGTTGCCTTGGCTGCTCCTATCATGAGATCTCTTATTAATAATCCACCTCCAAACTTTTTCTTGAAGTTTGCATACAAATGTCTTAGACACAACCTATGCTTTATTCATTCAAATATTTCTTCAAATACGCTAACAAACCCTGTAACAAATATGAAAATGACACGCCTTTAAAAACAACTAACAATTGATAATGAGAAGTATGAAAACATAATGAAAAGTATAAAATAACAGCTAACAGTTGAAAATGACACACCTTTTGCTGATCTAAAATAAAGACATATCTATTGTCTTGTTCAACATCTTCCATTAACAACTATAGAAACCACCTTCAACTGTCTTTTGTTTCAGTTTCCACAACACCAAAGGCTAATGGGAAGTATTGGTCATTGGTGTCCCTACCCATATTAATTAAAACTTGACCACCATATTTGGTCTTCAAATGGCATCCATCAACCCCAACAAATGGACTGCATCCATTTATGAATCCTTTTTTACTACCATCAAAACAAAAGTAAAAAGATCCAAACCTTGGTTGAATTGATGGGTTTGGTCGGTCAATGTTGATCTTCAAAATATTCCCAACATTTACCCTTTGCAACTCTGTAGCATATCCCCATAAGTTTGCATATTGCTTGTCTGCATCTCCTTCAATTATCTTCTTTTCTATCGGCTTTGCCTTCCATGCCCCAGCCACAGTAATTCCCACAGAGTAATTATGTCTCATATCATGAATAATATCACAAATCCTAAATGTCTCAGATGTTTGCATTTTATTCATAATTGCCTTGGCCACCCACCTTGAAATTGGGTTTGATTTTGTTTTTAAGAGTACGGTCGAAGGTATCCTCAGTTGATTGAAGAACCGTAATAACATCCACATTGAAAAGAGTGAGGGTTATCATTCTAGAACAAAGGTGAAAGGTGTTGCTCGAACCTTCCCAAAAGTAAAGGGTTGAAATGAGCACGTGGGTGTTATGTTTAAGGCCAACTTTAGATAATTTAATCAAGTCAAATATACCTTGTTCTTTCTTATTTTTTTACCTTGTTCAACCAATTGATATAAGCTTCCTTATTGATAGAAGGAAAAGAACAAGACACTGTGAGGTAAACCCATAAAAACTAACTCATAGATCTTGTCCTCAAATATGCGAGGTTTATAGTGGCGGAAACAATGAAATATTTTGTTTAACTTAGCAGGTTTTACAGAGGATACAAGAAATTGACCCAAAAGCACATTAACATTACCTGAGATGGAAAAAGGGATTAATACATGGGAAACTTAGATGACAATTTTTTCTTTCTCCATTGGTGGCTTTGGGATATAGGTGTGATTGCTAGAGAGAGTAAGAGCAGTAACATCATCAGGAGATGGAATTCAAAGTTATTTTTTCATACCATAAGAAGCCATTGTTCTTAGAACTTGAGTAGAAGAGCAAATGAAGGTTGCATAAAAGTGAAAAAATTTAGGGTTCAGAGAAGAAGAAATGGCGAAAAGGAAAAACAAGAAAAGGAGAGTGTACACATAGTTGTGGAAGAATACTTTTCAATTTCCCTCTAAAAACTCACTAACGTTTTAATTCTTAGATTAAAATTAATTAAATGATTTTCTTTTAAAGCGGTTAGTTATGTGGCACACAATGGTTTTGGATGTTGGAACAATGATGGTGGGTGCACGCATGTAAGTTGATGTTATGAATAAGTGGTGTTGGTCATGATAACTATGAAGTATGCTGACTACTGTGAATTGTGTCGAGATTTTGCTAAAAACACCACATTTCTTCCATATTGCAAACATGAAAAAAGTGGCATTTAAGGGGGGGGGGGGGGTCTGTTAGCCTTTAATTTTTGACTTAAGTTGCACTTAAACCCACTAAGTTTTCTTTGGAAGAATCTCAAGAAAAGATCAACAAGATTAGAATCACTCCCTCTTCAAAATATGTTCAAAATCTTAAAAAGGTTTGTAGTGATTTTGCTTATTTGACAGGAATAGGGCGTGAGATCAATACACAGGCTAAACACAAGCAGCTAAAGCATGGTTCGACACCAAAATTGTAAGATTCAACTAGGAATGTATCTCGAGAGAAGTGGAAATTTTGCAGCATTTCAAGGATTGAAGACACGTGGAAGCAATGCAAAAAACAAAAAGACCACATAATGGTATGCGTGTTGATTTCTAGAAAACTAGTTGTTGTCAATGGTTATTGATGTACATGTATATAGGTTTATTTAATCTCTGTAACAAGGATTCACATTTTTCATTATTGTCCTCAATAGAATTCAAACATCAAAGTTACATAAATAGTGAATTTATGGGAGGAACGTACGAATTTGTGTCCCATTTTTAACTCAAGCATTTAACTCGATTGCTTTTATCATTTACTTTATTATTTAAGCAATTATTCACTTTACTTTTGAAGTTTCTATCCAATTATTCCATATTCAAACATTTAATTTCCAAACATGAACACATTTTCTTAAACTCTTTTGCACAATATGTTCTTAGGATTTTTTCGAGTTTAATCCTATAAGTAAATTAAAAATTTTGATTTGATTTACCAAAAACAAGATTAAATAGATATGTAAATCCAAATTTATGTCCACCTCTTCCTTGATGCACCAGAATGAAATTGTTAAAGTTGTTGTCTCTCTATTGGTTATAGTTTCCACGTCCTCTTCCTCCATAATTTCCTCGACCTTTGCCTCTATAATTTCCTCTTCCTCTGTTGTTGTAATTATTTTGACATATTTATTCTAAATTACGACTTTAATCAAAAGTGTTGTTGAAGTTTACTTGACTCTTGAGACCTTCTTCTTTTACTACTTTCTTGGTATTTTCTAATATTATGTTGACATGAATTTCAATGCTTCTCTGTAAATTTGCTACAAATAAAGCGTTTGTGTCGTGGGACTAAATTATTATAGTCACCACATGGTCAAACTTCATCTGCATCGCGCGCAAAATCTTTTCTACCACTTTTCTATCTGAAATATCTTCTCCATATACTTTCATCTTGTTGACCAGATTTATAACACGGGAAAAATATTGTTCTACCATTTCTAATTAGTCATTTCGTACCTTTTATATTCTCTATGCATCGATTATAATTTGGATTTCTGAGCCTTCTCTACTCCTTTTTTTGATAACTTCAATATGTTCCATGCTTTTTTAACATCTTGGCATATTCTATTTTGCCAAATATTGAGTAATCACTTCCTTTATAAATTTGTGAAAGTTCCAACTGGTCCATTCTATGAGCGACTTCATCAACTTCTTCTTGTAAAACGGAATCCAGAAAGCTCAAAACACTGTGACTTTTTATAGGCGTTGTCATCAAAATTTCCCAATAACTAAAATCTAATTCTGCATCTAATTTTGGGTTGTATCAACTAAAATTGCAATTGTTTGTCATATCTCTCTTACAAATATACTTCCAATAATTTTTAAAACAATGAAAACTCTTTTATTTCTCATACACTCAAAATATTTTTGACATTCACACTAGTACACTACTACAAAAAATATTTTTTTTTACCAGATGCGAAATTAATAATATATCGGCTAAAGAAACGAGGTAACAAAGGACGACATGAAAACTCGCCACTTATCAGTTCGGTGGAATTAAAACCAAGAGGTAAAGTTATATGGACATGAGTTCGAGCCCCAACAAATACATTTTTATTATTTTTAAAATTCATTTATCTTACCTTTTGGTTTACAAATAAAATCGAGGGGTAAGATTATTTCTTTTTTTTTAAAAAGAAAATCGTTATATGGTTTACCCAGAATATTACATTGTTTACACAAAATATCCAAATAAAAATCAAATTCCCTATAGATCTAGATAAAAATAAAATTTTCTAGGTGGGTGAAGATCAAATGTTGGTGCAAATATATTCTCTAAGACTTTGCATGTATTTGATTCTGAAACAAAATAAAATAAGAGTTAGATAAATAAAATCAATACTCAAATATATGATTTTGTGCTCAAATAAATATTTAAGAAAATAAACTTTAAACCCAAATAATTGTATACTCTTGCAATCAATCTTACACAACTTTTCTAAACGCATTTATGTTTCAAGCGCTTCATGTTCCATATAGGTTAGATTTTCAATATTCAACATGCTTTTATAATGGATGTCCATTAGGTTTCACGCGGATCACTAATGACATATTTTTGAGTGTTGATAAACATTAAATGGACGATAAAGATTTGTTTAAGGGCGTTAGATATGGTAAAAAAACGCTTAAATATCCTCTCGATCACGTAGAAAACAAAGGTGAATAAGCTGTTTTCTAAAATTATATTATTTACACAATATATTAAAAATACATTGTAAAATATGTTTCCTAGAGAGATTTTTTATTTTCCACGTCCATGTCCCATGCAAGATACTACAGATCTGTTTCTCAATGAGAATTTTTATTTTCTGCACTTGCAATGCATCACAGAGATATGTAGTAGCAACTCATGATCAAAATGGACGACGGTGAATATTTATTCTCTTTGGGGCGACTACATATAAGTTAGTTTTAGGGTAAAATCTGTTTAACGAGTGTTTTTATAGTAAAATATGATTACCAAACACTTTGGTTTTACTATAAATAAAACTCAAGTTCTTTTTATCTTCTCCTTTTAACTATCAACTCGGTGATGAAGAAAATCGAGGTGAATAATTTTTTTTGAAACTACATTGTTTACAATAAATCTTTACTCTTATTACTGAATATCTTCGCTGATATGCAGATTTAGTTGCATTCTCTTCTTTGTTCAAAGGTTAAACTTTCTTCCTTGTTGGTTAAACTTTCTTCTTTGTTGGTTAAGCTCCATTCTTTGTTTAACTTGAAGCAAAAATGATTTTCTGCACTTGCAATCTATCAACCGAGTACTCTTCAAAGGTTGAACTCCCTTCTTTAATTGAGGGTTATTACAAAAATACAATAACGACAACATCAACACCATTATGTTGGGATGAATAACAAGGACAAAAAAAATATTTTGTTCAAGATACAAGAATATTTAAGATTTTTTCTCTCTAAGAATTCATCCCAAAGAATGATGCTTGTGAGTTTGGGGAAACTTCATATTAGTAAGAATTATGATAAAATCTGTTTAACGAGTGCTTTTATAGTAAAATCTTATTATTTTATGCCTTGGATAAATAGAAAACTGAGTGGTTAGAGCATTTTGTTTACACTTATAAACAAATAAAATCATAAAGTGCAATAGCTAGAAATCGAAACTTGTACTGAGTTGTTTTTTCACCTCGATGTTATAAAAAATTAAGGAAATATATGATTTTTTTAAATAATAAAAAATAACGCCTTTTGACTTTATACCTCGACTTTCTATTGTTCGAGGTGAAATTTTCGTTATAAAAAACGTTATTTGTTGTAATAGCAGAATCTAACATGCTCTGATACGATATTAAATGAGACTTCTAATTAAAATAAAAATCACATATTAATAAAAAGAGAGAAAGAATATATATATATATATATATATATATATATATATATATATATATATATATATATATATATATATATATATATATATATATATATATATATATATATATATATATATAAACTTCATGTCACTACATCAGGCTTTATATGGGCAAGAAAATAGACATGAACTTATAAACTAAAGAAGTAAAAGGTGTTGCTAAAATTGCTACCTGAATTCTAATTTTATTTCTTACTGAACTTATTTATAACAAAATTTTGCTTTTTAATTCATTCAATAACTAATGTACTTAGTCTATATTTTTTTTCAAATATGTTATTTATTCAACGAATCTAAAACACAAATTTTTTCTTATTTATAGAAATTAACTAAATATGAGTTTAATCTTATCTCTTAAGCATAAGCCACCTCCTTAATATTTTAATTGTCCAATAGTAATCTTTTTTTAATCATGGAGAATAGTGCCATGCATTTTCTATAGTCTATTAGTTCTTCAACCAGTTACAATAACAATAACAAGAAATGGAGCGAAACTACCAAAAAAAAGAAAAAACTTTTAGTAATAAGCAAACCTTAAAGATAGCAAATCTAGAGACTATACAATCATATAGGTTCACATAAATGAACAATTAATCATTCATAATTTGCATGTTAATAAAGTGACCCAATGTCATTACATAATGTCCTTATATGTATATATTAATCATAGACCTATAAATTTTAGGAGAAAAAGAGTGTATTGTTGTTGTTGGCTGTTGGGGACCAGAGGCAAATAGTAATTGTCGCATACAACAGCTTTGATGCAGACATTGAAATTCAATTATCACTCTTTTCTTGCATTTCATTTTCAAAACACAGCCCATAAAATGGAACACCACACTTCATAGGGATACCTCTGACACCTTTGTCCCACCCCACTTGCATTCTTTCCTTTGAGCTAACTTGTTAGATTTTTATACCATTCGTTAAATGTTTGTTACACAAACATTTATATATCAACTTTATGAATCTTAATACAAAAATTTATATTATTGTTAATTTTTTTATCAAGCCGGCTACTTATGTCAATCTATTTAAGTTGGATCTGATGTGTTTAATAGAAATTAGACTTAAATGTTAGACCAATAAAAAAAAATTTACAAAATTTATAATAGATTTGACTCTAAATTTTTAAAATCTGACTCTAAATTTATCATAGATCTAACTCTAAATTTTTAAAATCTGACCTGATCTAATCTACTGATAAAATGATAATAATTTATAAAAATTTACGCACAAAGCTCAGAATTTGAATCATAATATTAAATGAGTTAGAATTTGCGTCCATTGAATTAGAATTTGCGAACTTATTGTTAAGTTTTTTAATGGCTTATAAATTTTTTTGACAAATGGGATCCAATCACAAATATTGAGGTAACATCACAATGTCTTTTCACATAATGGGAAAAAAAAAGGTGAAATGTTAGTGCACAATAATTTGTAACAGATATTATCTGCATTGCATTTATATTTAGAATTAATACACAAAAGAAAGAAGCATAGTACATTGCTATGATTGATTGAATTTTAGCCACACATAAAAAATGTGCCACCTATACCATTATTATGGTTCAAATCACAACAATGTCTCATAATACATAATTAATTACATGAAAATTAATTACTATAGTTACTGAAACACTAATGCTATTTATTTAGGAGTTAGGAGCATAATCATCAATATGAAATGATCCTTCTTCAATCTTCACTTTGTGATTGTTAGGCAAAGAAGGTTGAGGTGACCAAAGAGATGGAATGGATGTTCCATTTTGTGGAAGAAGATTTCTACCTAAGTTTATGGATAGCATGGATAAATAGTTGGATCTTTCTTCATGTAAGTTGTTGAGTTTGATTACATGGTTCTTAGAAATTTCATTGTTTTCAATGATTTGGAAATTGGGTTTTGTAATGTATGGATGTTGAAAGGGTGTGTATGGTGGTCTTTGAATTGAAAATAGTCCTGGTGGTATTGTTTGGAGGTAGCTGAATTTCCTTTGTATGTTGAGCACTATATCAACATCTTCTGCAATCTGAACACAACTTGTGATTTTAGATATATTTGTAATAATCTTTGTAATCATGACACTTTTAAAAGTTTATGTTTATAACAATGTCTAACACTGAAACGACACTAAAAATTATTATTAATATCAATGTATCAGTGATTGCGGTTATGTTTCATGCTTCAGAGATAGGAATACCTTGTTAAATGAACCAAGTTGTACTAAACCTTCTCTGACAGCAATGAGAGCAATAGTCTACCAAAAAAATAATAATAATTTGATAGCATTATTAGTTAAATAAATTTGGAACAATTATAATATTTGCATTCACATAAAATGAAAAAAAAAAGGAATTTTATTTTTCTTTTATTGTTGAATCAATTTACTAACCTGAATGCCTGAATTTAACTGAAACCCCCATGCCTTTGGTTGCTGTAAGAAATCAAAATATTTAGATTTTAGAAAAATGAAAGAAAATGTGAAAAAACTAATTTTTTTTTTCAAATAGCAATTATCTCTTACATGATGATCAATTGAAGCATTCCATGGACCAGTATAGTTAGATTCACATCCATTTTGAGTGTCACTATAAATCCATTTGTGACCATTATCTGCTGCAACTTTCCCCACTAATCTGCAGAATATAATAACAATATACATCAAATTCTATAATACAACATTTTGACTCTACGGCAACGCGAAATCTGAAATTTTTTATTTTGTTACCCTTCTCCATAACTATAAACTTCATGAGACATTTTGAAGAATACATCAGCTCCAAATCTTTCATTCATGTAACCATTTTTCCTTTGCTCACATTCATTAAAATCACAGAATCCATCTTCCCATACAATAATCCTAACAAACAAAACATGTTTTTCATTTGATAATATTCTACATTGCATTTTATTATTTATTCAAAAGAATAACATTTTTTTTTCATGAAATAAAACTTATACCAATTTCTTTTATTTCCCTTGGAACGATCAAGAGAAGTCCCTCCAAATTCCCACCTAAAAAACATTAACATAAAAAAATCAAATTTCCTATGTTAAAAAAAACATGGATTGTTCATTGGTATAGTTACCTTGGTGGAGGAAAGTTTCTTGGTACTACTCTCCAAAAAACAGCATAGACCCATTTGGAAGAAGATGAAGAAGTAGGAAGTGAGCATGTGGTTCTTAGAGTATGTTGCAAGAGAGAATGAAGTAAGGGTAATCCATTTTCCATTTTGCAAAGAGATAGTGAGGAGAGTGTAGAGAGTAAGAATGAGATTCAAAGGGCCAAAATGTTGAATAATAGTATTGTAAAATGGTACCCACACTCACTCATTCACTCCATTATGGTTGTAAATTTTAGAGTGGGACCTAAAGTTTCTCTTTCAGCTAGGTGACTGGTGAGGAGTGAGTGAGTCACATTTATAATGCAAATCTTTCCACATTCACAACCTTCAACAAGTTCTAATAGTGTTGGAATGTTGGTCTTGGTAAAAGGTTTGGAAGGTTATCAAAGGGGTTATCTTTGGTAGCTATTTTCTCCAAGGATAAGTCCACCATTTCAATTCATGAATTAACTAATTGTGAGCTATAGATGTAGTTTTATTGTATCTTAAAGTAACTTCTAGTAAAAGACTCCTAATTAAAAAAGGCGAAATGCTAACTATGGAGGCATACATTGAAGTTCAGCACCGATCAAAGATCTATTTTTTGATATTCTACTTTCTTAAGTAGAAACATTGTTACTCGGAGGAGAAAAAAAGAAAAGTGCATTGGATTGATGAAGAGTCGTAGAAATATTTAGACATAAAGAATTTGTGAGATAATGTCGATGAAACAAGTGTTAAATGATTTGAAGGTTTTTTACTAGTTATATTTTCAAACATGTGGATCTATGTGCTTACAAGTATGAAGTATGTAGAAAATTATTGATTTGGTTTTGATGTTAACAATGCTCTTAAGAGAAGTATTCATCAGTTTTGTTGTTCAGGGTTAGTTGGTTCATATAATATCATATGATGTGTTGATCAAGTGATGAGGCTTGATATATTGTTAATCAAGTGATAGTGCTTGATATGATTATTCAAGTGTGATTGATATAGTGACAAAGTAATGGTGCTTGAAGAATTAAGATGTGTTGATTAATATAAAGCCTGAAGATCATCTGATGCAGTGATCAAGTGGATATGATTCAATATTAAAGTTTTGGTAATCAAGTTATGAATATCAAGATTGACGTGCTTGGGGATCAAGTTATTTGTTCCTATTTATAGAGACAACACCTTATGTCAATCGGCCTTTAGTGAAGTCAAGGAAGATCTCTAATCAAGTGGTTTGTCTAATGATGGAGGTTATCGTACAAATTTATCTCAAGTCTCATCAGAAGAAGATTCAAGGTTTCAGATAAGTGTTAAACTCAAAGATAATGTGTCAAGGAACCAGAAGCTTCAAAGTCATGAAAGAGAGAGTGTGAAAGCTCGCTTGTCTGTGTCGAGTGATCATGTTCTATAAAGGTATAGACTAACTCTCAATTTTACTAAGGTAAATCGCACACACACACACACACACACACACACACACACACACACACACACACACACACACACACACTTGATTAAACCTCTTGAAAAGCCTCTCTTGATTTATAAAATCACCTAAAAATGTTTTAAACCCAAGTCAATTGATTAGAGAACTGTTTGATCTATTAGAAGCATATTTTACAAAAGGGTAATTTATTAGATCCTCGGGATAGTCAATTATTTCACAATTTAATGCTTAAAATTGGTAGGTGAAATGCCTATATTGTTGGCAACGTCTAGAAGTGAAAACATTCCATTTTGGGGTGCCATAATCGATTATGCACTTGACATAATCAATTAAGAGCTATAAAAAGCCCATGAATTATTTTCATATTTAAGCCACCTTTTGTCCTATAAATAGAGATCTCCTTTCTAATTTCTAACATACCAAAAAACTGATTTGAGATACATTTCTCTCACTCTTTTTTCTCTTCACATTTTGCCTTAGTGATTTTGAGAGTAAATGTTTATATTTGTGAGGTAGTTTGGTATGGTGTAAGGAAATATTTGTAATATCACTTTAAGATAAAAATTAGTTCGGTTGTAAGCTAAACCAAGTGAAAAATTATATTTTAGTTGTTAAAATAAACCAACTAAAACCTCTGTTTGGTTATGGAGGTCTCCGTTATTAAAAATCTCAATCAATTCTTGAGCTTAGCTATATGGTAAAAGCTCTCTCTTGGTTCATGAGTTTAGATTGTGCTAAAAGCTCTCAATTGATTGTAGAGGTCTTTATACTTAAAACTCCAGATCTTGGTTGGGTAGCTAGTGATTGAAAAACTTCAATCCTTGTAAAAGGAAGTTTGTGGCCATATTTTAGAAAAGCTCTCAAGATACTGGAAACTCTCAAGAAACATTTCTTAGATAAAGGAGTAGGTCACTTCATTAAGACCAAACCTCTATAATTCTTGTGTTTTATCTTATCCACTAACTCTTTTCTTCTTCTTTTTTTTCATTCATTTATTTATGCTGCAGTTTTGTTTTTTGTTTGTTTAATTTCGATGCTTTTACTCTATTCGTGTTACAAAAGATTTTTAACTTTGTTTTTGTGAAAGATATTTGTTTTGAAAATGGATTTTCAATCTCACACAACTCACCACCTCCCTCTCTTGTGTTTGGAGTCTCATGTCCTACAAGTGACTTCAGAGTCTAAATCTTATTTAAAGATTAGTCATCTCTTGATAAAGATGATGATGAATACAAACACTTCTTCTTTTAACAAGAGTCTTTTCGTGAATACACATCCGCTATTTGGTGGTGATAGGTTTGAATTATGAAAAGTGGGATTTGAAACTTTCGTCAAAGCTAACTATATTGAAATGTGGGATATGTTAAATAATAGTCAATTTATTGCTACGTTCTCCTTTAACAACGAGGTAGTAAATAAACTTGATTTTGAATGGCCAGAGAGGATATGAGAAAAGTCAAACTTATTTTTAAAGTAAAACATCTTTTGATAAATGCTTTAAGTTCTAAGGTATTTTATTATGTTTTTACTTCTGAGTCCACCAAGGACGTGAGGGTTACTCTTGAAATAATTTATGAATTTTCTCTAAGTATCAAGCAAGAGATAATAAACACACACATCTAAGAAACTAAAACATAAAATTAATGTGAAAAGAATATATTCACATATAGTGTTCAACCATTGAAAATCTTAAGGGGTATATTATAATTTTTGTTTCGCACAAATATATAAGAGTTAAGAATTTGAATCAGAAACATGATCCATATCCTTAAATCGAGAGATGGAAGTGTTTATAATTTTTAAAGAAAAATCTAAGAGAGAAAAAATCTTTTAAAATCTCAACAAATTAATTCAACTATTGAAGGATGAAAGAATGAATTTAGAAGAATCATCATTAAGTTCATCAAGAAGCTCTTTTGAGGAAGTGATAGGGCCGCTAGTGCATGACTTTAACGGTTTTCGTATAAAAGATTATCGATCCCACATAGACCAATCACCAATTACTGTTATCTATTACTACAATGTTTTTCTAAGCCGATGCAATCGGTTTGTTTGTGCGTTATTGAAAACTAGTAATTTTAATTCAAATTTAAATAACGAGAGATTAGAATGTGATTTCCATCTGCCATTGTCACTCATGTAAATCGTAGCACTTTATTTTTGTAACGAGAAAATATTTCTCGCAGAGAAAATTAAGTTAGAGGTAATATGTGAGATGGGCATATCACAGTTCCTAGGATTTTAAGAAGGTTATCAACCTATCATCAGGGAATGAATCATTTAGGGGAAACTCCTTTGTTTTCAAATCATTAATCCTAGACAAGTGATCCGCCACCATATTCTCCATCCCTTTCTTATCACGAATCTCCATATCGAACTCCTGTAATAATAGTATCCACTAAATAAGTATCGACTTGGCATCTTTCTTACTAAGTATATACCTAATAGAGGCATGGTCTGTGTAGACAATGATCTTCGATCCTACTAGGTAGGAACAAAATTTGTCGATCGCATGTACGATGGCTAGAAGCTCCTTCTTAGTAGTGGCATAACTAATATGAGCTTCATCTAAGGTTTTACTAGCATAGTAGATTGTGTGTAACTTCTTGTCTTTACAATGTCCTAGAACAACACATATAACATAGTCACTCACATCACACATGATCTCGAAAGGAATGCTCCAAACAGGAGGCTGCATTATTGTGGTTGAGATCAATGCATGCTTTAACAATTGGAAAGACTCATGATATCGTTAATCGAAGATGAGCTCAACGTCCTTCATCAGAAGATCATTTAAGGGTATATAAATTTTTAATAAGTCTTTAATAAATCATCGATAAAATCCAATGTGTCCTATAAAGCTCTGAACTTCTCTCACAGTGGTGGGTTGTTGTAACTTTTCAATAACTTATATTTTTGCCTTACCAAACTCGATTCCTCTTGCAGACACTAGATGTCCGAGGATTATGCCTTCCTTCATCGTGAAATGGCATTTTTCCAGTTTAATACGAGGTTAACCTTAACACACATTTCGAGCATTCTCTCTAAGTTAGCTATACAATTTTCAAAACATGACCCACATATGGAAAAATTATCCATGAAGACTTCCTAATGGATTTATTTAACTTTATATAGGTAATGCACATTCTTCATCTCGTCATTGTACGTGTGGAAAAAAAAGTCACTTTTTTCGTTCTTCACCATATTCATTCCACATTTATCTAGTACCAAGTGTACCACCAACTTATTTTTTAAAATAATATAGATGATCCCAACATCAAGAACCTTCAGGAGGTGACTGGACCCCAATATGCGCGAAGTAGTGAAGAAATAAGTACTGAAGCTTCTTGATGTTGGGATCAATCACATTATTTTAAATAATAAGTATGGGGTACACTTGGTACCTGAGAAATGAGGAATGAATGTGGTAAAGAACGAAAAAAGAGACTTTTTTTCCACGCGTACAATGACGAGATAAAGAGTGTGCATTGACTATATAAAGTTAAATAAATACATTAGGAAGTATCATTTCCCTCTCCCATTTAAAGAGAAAATGCTTGAAAGCTTAGCCAAGCACTTACACTTTCGCTACCTGGACGGTTACTCGAGATTCTTTCAAATCCCAATTCACCCGAGTGACCAATAAAAGACCATATTCACGTGCCCCATACTCACGTGACAAAATCT